TACTCCTTTAAATATGTTTGCAGTAGGGCTTTTAGTAATAAAGTACAATCTTGTGTTTGCTGACCTCCAGTGGTTGAATGCTTCACCATTCTGTAGTCATGGAGATGGGTAATAATCAGGGTGTGATCAGTAAGCCTTGACATCACTGTGGTTAGGTGTGGTTTGTTACAGGTGGAACAAACTTTATTTTCTATCAACACCCAATAATGACGCCGAGTGTAACCGACAGGTAATACAGACTACACCTTTTAATTAAAAAACCAAAAACAGGTGAGCTATGGTCAGGTAGTAAAAAATAGATGAGATCTATTTTCCTATCTACTTTTGCCTGACCTTGATGGATGGGAAATGTTATGGAGTCAAGCAGTGCTTTGGAGGAGAATTCATAAGGACTAAGAAAAAGAAAATGGCAGTTTTTGGGGAACCCTGCACCTACATTAGGGCACGTTATAATGTGATAACAAGTGTTATTCACAAGGGTCTGGTTTCGCTTTAAATGTTCCTGCCTTAATACATTGTGAGATGGCACATCCCCTTTCCTTTCAAAATGACATTTGAGTGTACTCTATGCCAAAGGAGACAGAGAATGAAGCATTAGAGAATATTACCAGCTCTTTTGGGTCATTTCAATAAGTTAATTGGTAATTAATCCTCTGCCAAGGACTTTGAGCTTGGGGTAAATGTATTCCTTGACCCCTCTCTAAAGAGATCAAATGAAAATATTTTATATTTAAATCTTAATGCTGGACTATTATTAGACATCCGCCTAACTCTCAAGATTCCTTTTATCGAATAAATGTCACTACCTTTTTATAATGTATAAGACTTCCATGATCAATAGTAGTGTTATCTCGTATTCACCTTAAACGACTCATTCAGAACAATCAGTGTCATTTTCTTAATGTTGAAAAAAAACGTGGCAATTTCAATTACTACACAATCATTTATTTAAACCCAGAGCAATCGTATCCTACGCTTCATGTGTTGTGGACGAATATGACGACAAGAAAATGTTTTGTTCGTTTGTTTGATAATATATATATATATATATATATATATATATATATATATAATCCCTAACTTTTTGAAGCAGACATCTGATGCATTTCACATTTAGCCTCACAGGGACAAAGTAAACTACTCTATGCCATCAATTATTCTTTTTTTTTTGCTTCCACTCACCTCAGTAAGCTGGGTCTGGAGCTCTGCGATCTTTCTCTCATATATCATCTTCCTGTCTGACACGATGGCCATTAGGTTGAACCGGATCTCTCCTTCACTGTACCTGAACAGGGAAACAATCAAACATGTTGAGCACTAGGCAGAACATGCTGTATTTACCGATCTGCTTTGTACAATCAAAAACTGTTAAAAAAATATATGAATTCCCTTTTCACTTCTCAGTACCTATTGTATTGTATTGTATAAAGAGATTCTTTAATAGCAATACAATTCAACATTAACTGAGGATTTCATTCATTTAGGATTGATCCGACATAAATGAAAAAAATATATTCACTTCTGTATTCTTTTCTCGATCACTGGGCGAACGGCGCTGATCCAATCATCCTGGTTGCACGCACCTGATGAAAACACAGACCACAGCTGATAATACTGCAGGTGTCTGTCTGTACATACAGTCCCTGCACTGTACGTCATCATAAAACAGACAGCTTTAGAGGAAATGGGCCATGGCCAACAAGATGAAATTGTATAAAGCAATAAAAAGGAAAAAATAGCAACCTAGCTTACCCAGGTCAATTGGTCCCTCTCGGAGTCCATCCAGCTCATATAGCCGTCCGTTTACAGGAACATAGCTCACAAAGTGAAAGGCGTCCTCGTCCTTCGCTGTGGACTTGGCATCAAATTCAAACATTTGCTGTCTGCAAAAACAAAAAAGGTACAATTTTAAAGAAAATGATCCTGCGTCACATGTAGATGCCGTGAAACAGGTTGGAATTTAGGAATGCTCGAAAACCAAACATAACTCCAATCTAAGTCAATATATCGTACGTAGAAAATGTTAAACATGTCACCCATTAAGAGGCCTTTCTATGCTTTTTGGGGGTTCCCTTTCGTGTAGTGTGTTATAGGATATTGTGCATGCAAATGGTCTGCAAAGGCTAAAATCCCTGCAGAGGGAGTTTCTCTCCCACACGTCTTCCCTGCCTGTCAATTGGACTGATTTGTTTTTTTCTGTAACATGCAGTGACATCACTATGTTACACTTTCGCTTATATTGGCTAATGCTCCAACACGTTGTACTTGATAGGTTAAGGGCGGAACATCTCTAAGCTGTTGACCAATCACAACAGAGCCGGCCAATCAGAGCAGACTGGCCTCTGGTTTCAGACAGAGGGTGAAAAGAGGTGCTGCAGCACAGGTAGTATGAGAAAATAAAGACCTTGTTGTACATTAAATCATGTAAACATGTCCCAGTAGAGGAACAAAATACAAATATGAACCTGAAAATGAGCATATTATGTACCCTTTAAATATGATATTATTATATTACTAAGTAGGTTGTGAAAGGGCTTCACATGGTGACCAACAAATGACCAAACCTCACATTTGCAAGTTGCATAAAATCAGACAGGTGCATTAGCAGCAATCACTCTCCACAGAGTAAGAATAAAGAGCTAGACATATCAAGAAGTCATTCAAACAGTTGATGGAGCGAGAGCTTACCTGGCAAAGCTGTTGTGAACTTGTCGGATCACTTCGGAGTTGCTAAGAGCCAGACCTTTCATCTGAGGAGGGGGGCACAGGATTATAATGCTGACTGTATAACATTTGCCTAAAGATGTGCTATTAAAGGCTGAATGGGACCCTTATAAATTCATTTTTTCTAGATAGTGGATATGTAAGTAGTGTCAAAAAGGTACTAACTATATCAAACGACTCACAGGTTGCTTCTATACGATGCCCTGATTTATTCCCATTATTTGCCCTTTCCAACTGGTTTAGATTTTATTTTTTTTAAAGGACAGCTTGAGTCATTTAAGATCAAAAGAGAAGTTGAGCAGTTTCACTTGGTTATTTTGAACATGTGTGGGACAGAAAACCGAGTCATCAAGGTTTTGGAGGTAAGAGGATGAAACTGTCAAGTGTTAGAGATGAAAGTGGGGAAATAAGTATATCAAGTTGTGTAATAAAGAGAGAAAAAGCTGGGGTTTTTTGTGAAAAATGTGTCACTTGGTACTTGAGTTAGAAGGTAAATGCTGGTGTCACTTTAATTAAAAGGTGTATAGTTTATTGTGAATGGGTAAACAATACATTCCTGTACTAATGCATGCAATTGCCAAACTATTTTTTGGGATTCAAGGGAAAAATACCGTGAACGTACAGCAGGGTCGAAACTCTGTGAAAACTCTCTGAACTCTGTCAGTGTGTCCCCAACCAACATGTCAGAATGGAAGCAGTTGAGCAGAACGCTGACTATCGCCTGGGTGGCACAGGCGTTGTTAATGACCTGAAAACATAGAGAGAACACATTAATTATTATACAGATCCATAACCCATTGTGTATTAATTAACACACTTAATAAAATCAAAAATCATCTTCTAACCAGATCTTCCTATGTTATGTACACTTACTAATTGGGTTTCTATATTTTGTAGTCCGTGTGTTCATGATATGATGCATTTGATGATTATATCATATACTTCCAATCCATCTGTAGGGATATGTGTGTATACACTTGTAAAAACCAAGCAGATCGAGGTTGCCATTTTGTTTGCTAAGGACTTACTATGACTCAAATATTAAAACACCACAACATTGTGTAACAAAAAAAAGTTTTATATGACATTAAATAAATACCTGTTTGGCAAAGAAGATTTGATCAAGCCTTGAATCCTGAACGATAGACCCTGCTGGCTCCTCACCTGGTTGCCACTTGAAGAGGAAAATCAACCCATGAACTGGTCTGAAACAGAATCGAAATATTAAAAAAATAATGCCTTGAGAGGGATTATGAAATATATAGAAGCTGCAGGTATGAACATACTTCAAGTTGTCAAAATTCTCTGGCTCCATACTCCATATCTCTTCAACCTGGGCGCCTTTGCAACCTGGCAAGAACAAATACAGCATCACATAATTACTCATACTTATAGAACGGTGTGTCTGGCTTTTAAAAAACGTTAACATATGTGACCAAATGTCCCCAGTGACGGGTTGACAGCAGAGCAAAGCACAAAGATGTCATTAATGAGTGAGGATTTGTTTTCACGCGCCGTTGTTTTGAACGCTGAGTAATGCTAGCCAGTTAGCTTGCCTCATTAAGTTAGCTTTGTCGAATACTGCATGCAACTTTTTAGAGAATGCAGCGTTTTGGTGGTTGCTGAGAATACAAAGCCTCTAACATATTTTTTATTTGACCTCCATTGCTTGTTTTTATTATTGCATAGAAAACCAATAGAAGCTGATTGCAAATTACCATTAGCTTTAAAGGAGCTAGCTAGCGCTGTCGTATAGCCACCATGCACTGAATGAACAGCTAGTCACTCACCAAAACCCTTTATCAGTTCTGTGAACACGCCGGGGTCACTCTCCATCAGACACCACTCTCCTGCGCTTCCAGCCATTCTTTACAACGTTGTTTATTCAACCTACTTACACATATACGAGATGCTAATATCCTAGCTTAGCAGTACTACCGCTAGTCAAGCTAATTTGACTGAAACACTAGTGACCTCACGGATGCGGTGCAATGTGGGGACTATGGGAGCGCTCGTTTTGTTTGACAGCGTATACTATCCAAAAGCCACACTAATTTGAGAAAATATATTGCAACAATGTTTTCGACAAAATCAAGTTTCAAGGTTACATACGTATCAACTATACGTATATAAATAGAAAAATAAGAACCCATGATCAATATCTGAAAGTAATGGGCCCACTCGTTGAGTTTAATCAATCTCCGCCCGCCTAAGCGAACGAGGGGAACAAATTAAGCACACTTCAAGAAAAAGGCAAGCCAGACATTGGAGGCAGATGGTGGTTTCATTCATATTTTTTAATATTCATAAATACACATTTCAGGCATTTAGAAAATATTTCAGAGTTGTTGTTATAAATACAACCATACATATTTGTATTCATAACACGGACCAGCATCATGATTCAATCGGCTTTTCATTCATCTGATATAAGTTTAACAAAGAAATTCAGAATATAACATAGCTTCTGCTAACATTTCAGGTAAACTTTTCAAATGCTTCGACGGCTAGGTAAAAAATGTTTTACAAAATCATAATATTTTTCACATTGGATGTTTAAATACATTTACAAGTTGATGTGGAGGCGTGTGGTGCAGTGGGTTGTGAGTTGGTATTTGGATCAGGAGGTCACAGGTTCAAACCCCACTGCAGTCAGCATGTCGTTGTGTCCCTGGGCAAGACACTTCACCCCAAATTGCTCCTGTGGGGATTGCCCACAGTATTGAGTATGTAAGTCGCTTTGGATAAAAGCGTCTAACAAGCGACATGTAATGTGCTAATCATAACAAAATGACAAGCTACATTAATCGTACAACATATGAAGAATGACCTCAATTGAATCATACGTTCATGTTCAGTTTTTGTTTTAAATATGGCAGCTTTAATGCATAACATCCCTGTATGAAAAGGTATGTAGCCTAACATTCAATGCACTTTGATAAATATATAACATAGTCATGCTCAAGCAATGTTGAACTTGCAACACGAGATAAAGTAGATGTTTCATAAACACCGTATTGAAAAGAACGACAAGAACGGTTAGTCATTTGGCTGACTCAAACTGTCCGCTACCCGAGCCGTCGGAGCTGGAAGCGCAACAGGGAGCACACTGCTCGATCAGGGGCCGCAACTTCCCCTGCTGATGGAGTTGTTTGGTATCAGAGCCACCCCCGATACAGTTTCCGTTAATGAAGACTCTCGGCACCTTAACACACAGATCATGTTGTACCATTATGTTTTGAAACAAAGCGTTATAAAGGCACCTGACATCCTGAACAGTAGCCCTCTAGATTAATTTACTGCTAGTCTGAGGAGTTTGGCAAGACTATTGGAAAATTACTATTGTCGATACGTAGACAATACGATTGTCTATGCAGCTGTGTATTGGAATTGCTACAACTAATGTTGTCATATGGCTCTGTCTGTAAGGATAAGTGTGCTGGGACAGTTTGAGCATATTTGTATGTAAAAAAAAAATGTTTAAGCTAAATTAAATCCGATCAAATTCTGATCCTTTCAGTGAAAATATAATAGTGCAAGTGTAAATACAGGTGTGTGAATGAAAACCTTTGTTGGTAAACACCAACTCTAATCTCTCTTTCTTGTTAAAAAACTAAAGCACTGTACAAAACCTTCAGCTACCTTCACGTTGGTCATATCAGATGTCACTAATTCATGTTTATGTGTAGATAAATTGATGGCAGGCCAAAAGGAAAACATGTCTGTGCTCTGACAGCCAATGTCAACTCTGTACTTGGTCAAAAATAAAATAAAATAAAAGCAACATTTAAAATGTGTAAATTAGTTTAACGTGCAGATACACAACCCTTATGTCATAAAGTCTAGTTTTAATGTAGATCTAAATGCTATTTATATCTCGTAACTCCTGATACGTCGCCTGTTGATGGGGACAAGTGTATACAATATCAAAAAGTGACTTTCTCAACGTGGAATAGTATCTACATGTTTTTAGTCTTGTACAAAATATTCACAACATCATTATTATTAAAACGTATTAATTTAATGTCTATATTTGATACCATTAAAGACTATAGTATGACAAAGATGCAGCTTATTTGAGTCAAGATAAAGACATGAAACCTTGGATGCAGCCCAAACAAAACAATAGTCAAAAATAAAAGGTTGTGAAATTGAAATTGCGAACCCAAAACACAACTTGAGGCTCTTACCGTTCTGGCACCGGTCATCTGAGCTAAGGCCTCTTGCATTCTCCTCCCATCATTGTGCTCATCCAGTTCAATCACTTTGTAGGTCGCACCAATTTCATTGAACACATTCTTGGCCATTTTGCAATAAGGACAGGTGGACTTGGAAAATATCACAACACAGTTCTGTGACACCATCTCCTGAAAGGTCGGGGGGGTGGGGGAAATATGTAATTTAATATCAGTGGAACACAGAAATAATCTACAAATACCAGAGCCCTATGTAAATTGCTGGGCAAAGGTGAAAGAAACCTTATCTCTGCAGATTTTCCATGGTTAATGTTTAGTTATAGAGTGAACTGGGTACACTTTAATATGAGTTTTTTACTGAAAAATGTGGAGAAACAGGAGATGCTATAATGGTTTTAACTGAAAGAAGGAGTCACTAAACAATTTAATGTGCAGCTAAACTGGTTACTTCTATTGAAAAAAAAAAGGTATCAAACACATAGTTGTTAGGATATGTAACAACTATGGAAACATATCTGCAAGCAATAACTTACCTGAACATGCTGTACACATGATGAACCGGCCACAGATGTTGAGGATGTAAAATTTCCCATTCTGAAAAAGACAAATCAGAATATTGAATCAAACAGTATTCCAAGGCATTTAGTCCAGTATTACACACACTACAAGTACTGACACAGTTTAGTAGGTTCGTGCAAACACCTAAAAAACCTGAAGAAGTCACTGGAAGAAACGAGCTGAAACCTACAAATTAGCAGCAACATAAAATACAACTGGAGCATCGCTGCTGGTCTGAAAATGCCCATATACATTGTAATATGTGTAGGGGCTACGTCTTAAATTACACTGTGCCTGGTCTACTACTGAAGTAAGGTTCAAGTGCTAGGTAATCCAGGATTAGCAGTACACATGCTCTTCACTGGCACTAGTAATTGGCTAAGATTTTATGTTGGCATGCGATTTGCCGATCTCCATTCAAAATGTGGCAAAATCAAGACTGCACGCTACAGTGAAAACCAACAACACTTCTTAAAGCGTGGCTGTAAGTGGTTTATAAAACATGAGTAACTAACTTTAAATTCGGTATACATTTAATTCGCTTCCCACTAAACCTTTCAGTTAAAACGAAATGTATGTTATTGCTTATATATGTTCGGTGGGAGATAATAGTTGTAGCATAACGCTAGCTACACGTTGACAACAGTCATGCAAATGATAAAGGTCGTCTTAGTTGACGAAATTATGCATTTGTACAGTTTGACATGCAAGCCGAATTGACCATATGAATCCATGGATTCGTAAAAATAACACAAATGTGTGTTTGGCATTTTGAAACACACTAAACTTTGAATGATGTGAAGCAGTTGTGAATAGTTACTTTTCAGCAAGGTAAAGCTGCGTTACGGTAATGTTGCGAGATGCGAAGTTAACAACAGAGAACGATTACTACGTATAATTGGGTGAAAGGTTTATTATATAATAGTTTGTTGATGTTTTATTAATCGTATTCAACGTGCAAGGTAATGTATCAGTCAAGCTGGCGAAAATGACCTTCGGCAGCCGGTCCATGCCACCCTGGATAGAGATCCTGCTCGAGCAAACATGGATAAAAAAGAAAATACGGCCAAAATGTAATCGATGTGTTGGCCTGGATGAAACATGCGGTTAGTGTACAAACTGTTCTTAAACACACAGCACCCCTGGCGCTTACTGTACGTTTGATATCCCCCTTTATTTACACTGTTTATGGCTGAAGCCTACCTTACGTGACCACCGGAAGCAGTTTCTGACGCAACCCGCAGTTTGAAAGTCACGCCCACAACGTCAGCATCACTTAAAAAAACAACTCCTAAATATCCTCCTGGGACCCGAGGAAAAAAAGTGTCTTCTTATATTTCCTTTTTTTTGTGATTTCCTACCTATTTAGGGTTAAAAAAACATCTTGCAATTTAGACTTTTTTTATTTTATTTGAATTTTAAAATGTTACAGTATGTCCACTGTCGAGGACCTCGGGACCATATTAGTTTGAAAAGACAGCCAAAATTAACAGATGGACTATGTAACGTATTATGGTTATAGAGTGATATTAATACAATAATACATTCACCTTTATTTAAAACATGAATAAGTAATTGATCTGAACATTGCTGTTTATTTGGTCAATACAAAACTAGCTTGTTTTTTGGTGAATCTTTCCAGATCTTCAAAGACTTTGTAGTCAATGTACTGGGAAAGTACCTCATTGGACTCCAGTCAGCACGGGCTGTAGGGTCATCTTGACTAGTTGTATCGATATTGTCTCCATTTGACCATGCTCATAGAAACAAAGCTTGCATTCCTGAGGCAATTCTCATTTTTCATGTCTCCACTTAAAATAAAAACAACAATAAGACATACGTGCTACTCTTGGCCCACAGGGGGCCATGTCTTTCCAGCTCGTCCCTATCTGTCTCTATGTATCTATCTGTGCGCTCATGGAGCATCCTGCATCTTTCCCCCCCTTCTTCTTGACCCTCTTCTATCCCAGGTGTGAAAGCCTCATCTCTCTCATCATCTGAGAGCTCAAAATCTTAATCTCCCTGAACTATCTGGTACAGAAAATGTCTGCTTCAGTTCCGTCTCCTGCAACAATATTGAGTCATAAAGTCCATGAAGATGGTCCTGACGTCCACTAGAATGGACATTTATAAAAGGGCTGTTATTTGAAAACTTGAATTATTTAATTGCTTTCAGAAGTAATTATATATTTCCTCACATGTTAATAAACAAGAACATATATGATTTTCATGGTAAAAATGACAATTATTCAACAATATTTGACTTCTCCTCCTGCTTCTATACAATTTTGTTTTTCGTATGCCAGCCATTTTGGATGAAAAGAAAGAGGAACTTCCCAGCATGCAATTTTAACCAATGGCATATCTCTGGAAAGACCAGGATGTCCTCTGTACAGTACATCAGGGATTGATAGAGTAGCTCAAAAGAGTAAAAGGAGATGCATGTTAACAAAATGTCCACTACAGTGGACATTTTCAATGGGCTGGGTCCCAGGAGGATATACCACAAAGTTGGAGGAGTTTCAAATGTGTTAACACTATAAATTAATTAGGATGAAGGTATACTATTTGAAAGACATCTAAAATAATTTGACCTGTATTTTCTTTACTTGCCATATTCCAAAAATAATGTCTTAACATTGGACTTTTATTATATAAGTAAACAGAGCTTTTATGGCAATAAGACTGACTCATGGACACTACAATTCATGGTCCATGAATGTAGCTTTGTTGAACTACCAAGAAGCCTCCATACTAACGTAATATTTTCTAAAAGGCCCTTTTGAATGTATTCAGTCAAGAGTAGTATGCCTATCTGTTCCTCGCAAGAATATAAACTTACAATAATAGATTATGTCTGCAGAGACCAACTCAAACATCACCCGAGTAGACTGGAGATAACTTTGTTCTGTACAAATGCAGATTATTCATTTTATCCTCAAGGAATTTCAGAATGAACTGTTTCACATTTTCCATGTTCCAGAAATGTTAGGAAACGCAGTGGAGAAAAGTGCTAGGGTGCAAATACCTACTTACAGCATTGATGATAGGATAGGATTGGACTGTGTGTGTGTATGTGTTAAAGAGAGATTGTGTGACTACAATACCTATATATCACACATATCACAATGATCCCTGCCAAGTAGATGGAATCTACTAGTGGGCACACCTTCACCATCATTGGGGAAAGGGAAAACTTAATCTCATTGGCTGGCCAAATGGTTGCTATGGCAATAGCTCGTACTGCCAAGCTGTCAAAGTAGTCATGTCATCATTAAAGTGTTCCCATATAGAAATAAAGACAAATCATCCATTACTGGTCATTGTGAAAGCACTTTTAGCTCTTTATAGTTCATTCATAACTGCTATGTCATATTTGTATCTTATAGCAGTAGAAACACAAAAATGAGGCAGAAATACTAAATAGTCTTGACTGACCAGATAATATGACAAGGGGCTGAAAAGTGACAACAATTTCAAAGAAAGCACATTTAATGTACCATTTCAGTCACAGTCAGGGAAATGTGTGTGCCCTCCCTCGTGTAAAACAGGTTGGTAATGAGGCATGGAAAAACATTTCAAGCTGCAATGAAATTCTGACATGTGGAACTGATATTGGTTGAAAAATTGTTGGTGGATGTATTCGCACCACTGGTTGTATCTAATTTATGTTTCCTTATAACACCTATATAGCCTCCTAATATAGATGTATGCATCCATGTATGCAGATTGACCTAAACACATTTGATATGCCTACCTAAATGCAAGATGTTATATAATACAGTTACATTAACAATAGATCAAGGGATCAGATTAGGACAAAATCAAGAGTGGTATCTGTTAACAAATTGTTTTGTTAGCGGTGGATAATTTGTTTTTGGAAAAGACTGAGCAGCCATTAGTGTGATCTGTGTCACACATCTCTTTGGCATCAAGCCTCTGACGCTTCACTTTGACAAATTAGAGCCAGCATGTGTGGTTGCGTTGTTGACATTGTTTCTTGTGGTTTAACATTTGTTTCTGATGCAAATCTCTAAGTGTATGTGAACTTCATTTATTTATGTCATTTTCTTCCTCGTTCACGGCCTGGATACCTGTCCCAGTGATAGTATAAATAGACTGTTGCATTAATACTCATCAGCAGTTCACGCCTCAAATCCTCCTGACAGATTGGTGGAGGAATTGCTCACAAATATATGGTATCCACAGGGAGGACATGTAAACGCCACACAAAGAGTTTATCTGGTAACTCCTTCCCAACGAGTATGTTTTTATGTTTCTATTGTTTGTGAAGTTAGTGAAGATGTTAGGGTTGCTTGTATTTTTTTTGTATCTGTCCACCTTGCCTATCACTGCCAATTGGATGCCAATAAACACCTGGGACTTCAGCAGAGTCATTGCCACCTTTCCCCCTTGAGACAAATCCAGATGATCATGGGTGTTTGAATGTTTTTTTGCAACAGGGAAATATAGATAGATACAGTGTGCAACTAGTTTTTGACAAGAAAGCTACTGGAGACTTCTAGAATTGTGTGAGTAACACTGTGTTTGTAGACTTCTCTGTTTCAGTGTGTGTACTCTGTATCAATGCTCTGTAGTTGATCTGACTGGAATTGTGTTTTTAAAAACTCAAAACCGCTACAGCATCTGTCAGACAGAAACTTGGGAAAAGTCATTTGACTGAAACCTTAAAAGTGATCTAACTGACTACTAGGGTTAACTTTGATTTAAACATTTGTAGAATACTAAGAGCTTTATTGAGTAGGTGTAACTGTATTAAGGGTTAAACTCAGAACTTTATAACTTAGGGTTTAATGTAATTGACTTAAAAGACAATAACACATCAGGACGAAGCCAGTCTAGATTTCCTTTTGAGGGCCACCAGCTGCAGAGAGTTAACTAATTAAAAGGACGTTGCCCCACAGCTGTGAGAACTCAGCAATCAGGTGTCCATTTTAGGTAGCACTTTCCTGGAGCGTCAGCTTCAGCGTCAGACAGGCTAAGACATTAGAGTCCTGTGGGAGTAAGACTGACAAAGACATTAGAGTCCTGTGGGAGTAAGACTGACAAAGACATTAGAGTCCTGTGGGAGTCACGAGGGAGGCAAAGAGGAGGCAAATCCTACTTTGATTGAGCTAAGTATCGCTGGTGTTTTTTATTTTGTTTCATTTTATTTGGTTGTTTAGCCCCTCATGCTATAATCATGTGTATTTTCTCCATTCCTGTTCATGTGTCTTCTCGCAATTATCACTGGCCCCGTGTATCTCGTAATCGATATAACCGGCCTGCTCTCATCTATCCCACATGCTCCACTGAGATCCAACATCTAGTTTCAGGTGGCCTGTGGAACTGCCAGTCAGCTGTTCCTAAGGCTGACTTCATCTCTGGCTACGCCTCCCTGCAGTCTCTGGATTTCCTTGCTCTCACTGAGACCTGGATTACTCCATCCAACACATCCACCCCAGCAGCTCTCTCCACTGCATATTCCTTCTCCCATACACCCAGACCCATTGGCAGAGGAGGTGGCACTGGTCTCCTGCGAATGGATCTGGCCCTTCGTACATCCAGGACATGGTTAAACCGTACACCCCAGCGCGTGCACTACGCTCTGCATCAGCCAAACGACTCGCTGCGCCCTCGCTGCGAGGGGGACCCAAGTTCCCAACGGCGAAAACACGTGGGTTTGCTGTCCTGGCTCCAGGATGGTGGAATGAGCTCCCCATTGACATCAGGACGGCAGATAGCTTGCACATCTTCCGGCGCAAACTGAAAACTCATCTCTTTTGACTCCACTTCGAGCGATAGAACTATTAACGAAGCACTTTTATACTAATAAAGGACTGGCTTTTCTAAAGCCAGTTGAGTAGCACTTGAAATGTTTTTGCTCTATGAAACCTGATGTACTTATATGATTCTGTTTTCTTCAAGTTGTATTTTGTTGGACGAACGCACTTATTGTAAGTCGCTTTGGATAAAAGCGTCAGCTAAATGCAATGTAATGTAATATAGTGTTGCCCTGGGTTTATCACATGAAAAGTGACAGAAATAGGTGCGTAAAAAAATGAATAATTAGAAAAAGAAGGATCTTGGCTCTTTTCTCACCTCTTCCCAGCTGGTTAATCACAACATGAAGTGAGTCTGAATGAGGGATGGTCAATTTTGGGAAGTAACAGACATGATTGGATACAGCTTCCCCT